CTTTCCCTTGTATATATTATTTTTGGCATAGATGAATATTACTAATTGATTTGGTTCTTCACAGAGGGTGCTGCTGTTTAATAAAAGGGAGGATTATAGCTTATGACTTTTCTTTCTATAAAAATTGTCTTAATATTTGTGTTTATAAAATTTAAATGTTGTTTAATTCTGTTTTCAAATCAGTATATTGTATATAAACATGACAGTATAGCCATTTTCATACATGAATATAAATAAAATAGTATTTTTAAAATAATAAAATAAAAATAATAAATCAAAAAAAAATTTTTTTAAGTAATGTTGGGATCAATACTGAGGGAAGAGAAAGAAGACTGGGCAGGAACAGATGAGCTGCGATGTAGGACCGAAGCTCAGCCAACTCCAGAGATCTCTCCAACCAGGGCGAGAGGTTACACTCGGAAAGACAGGTCACTGGATGTGGGCTGTTGGGTAGAGATAAGACTGGACACTCTAAGGCCATCTGCCAGCTGGATTTCAACTATCAACAGCTGGAGTAATAAATCCTTCCTAACAGAGTATGGTGGCCCATGCCTGTGATCCCAGCACTCAGGAAGCTGACGCTGGAAGGTCAGGAGTACAAGCCTGAATTGCATAGCAAGTTCCGGACAAATCTGGGTTACATGAAGTCCTCTTTCAACACTCTTCCCTGAAAAGTTCTTCATTCTTAAAGGGGGTCTGAGCTCTAAATTCTAGCAGTTTTCCTACGAAGAGCTTGTAGGACTAGCAGAGTCTGGGGAAAAATATTTGCAACATAGATAAAACCTAACTTTGGAAATAAGGGCATGAATAGGAATATAGTAATTATTATTCCTTGTTGCCTACAATCACAGTGAGAAAAAAAAGTATTTATAGGCTGCCCCCTGTATACCTGATCTTCGCTAGCACCAAGTTTACAAAGATAAGATAAACTCTACTGAAAGCTCACAGTTTACTGGGAGAAAAAGCACAAAAACAATAATCAGTGTATTGGCCTGTGTTTATCTTATTGCTGTTTGTATGTATAGCACCCAGGCAGTAGGTAGAAACAACTACTGAGCTAATAGGTTCTCAGTAAATACAAGTGCAATGAGTTCATTTGTTGAAGAGAGCAAGAAGTACTTGGATAGTAAGTAGAATGTAGGAATCATACTATGGCCTGGAGGATTCAGGGGACAATCACAGGCGTGTTTTTTTTTTTAAGTATTTTGTTATTTTTATTTTATGTGTATGAGTATATTGCCTGCATGTATGTATGTGCACTTGTGTTGTACAATGCCCTCGGAGGTCAGAAGAAGGCATTGGATCCCCTGGAACTGGAGTTGTAGACGGTTATTAGCTGCCATATGAGTCCTGGGAATAGAACCTGGGTCCTCTGCAAGAGCAGTCACTGCTCTTAACTCTTAACTCTCTTAACTGCTGAGTCATCTCTCCAGCCACAGGGGTGAGTTTTAAAAACATCTATTATTGTCTAGATGTATGTGTCTGATGTGCAAGTGTGGAGGTCAAAGGACAGCTCTGTGGACCCAGTTCTTTGCTTCTGTCTTTATATGGGTTCTTGGGATCAAACAGGTCATCAGGTTTCCATAGGACATTTTTACTCTGGCCTCAGAGATGGGTATTTTGAGAGAACATTGAAGAATAAACAGGAGATTTTTAGGTAAAGATGGGAATTGGCAGTAACAGCTAGTTTTAGGCAGTTTGTAGAGAAAACAAAAACATGCAAAAATGTCCTAAGAGTAGGTAGATGGAAAGCTTGGAAAGAACTTAAGAAATATTTTATTTATTATTTTTATTTTATGTATATGAGTGTATTACCTGCATGTAAGTAAGTACACTCATGTCATGCAATGCCCATGGAGGTCAGAATATGGTGTCAGATTCCCTGGAACTGGAGTTATGAATGGTTGTTAGCCAACCTGTGGGTGCTGGGGACTGAACCCAGGTCCATTGCAAGAGTAGCCAGTGCTCTTAACCACTGAGTTTTCTCTCCAACCATGGAAAGAACTTGTTAATCAAATAAAAGGTGCATGTGATAAGATTCATATTAATAAGTGATATCCATTGTTACTGCCATGTGTGCAGAAATGTGTTGCTATTGGCCTATGGAATGTTTAGTGGATTTTCAGTAATAGGATTTTATGAAAAAGATGTAAGTCTTTGAGCTAGATTTGAATGGAAGAGAATAGTGTTTAGGGTGTTCAAGATGGAGGTGGTACTGAGTGGAGGCTGCTAGATCTAATGGAGTTGTGTTGAAATCTAGCTTTGCTGGCTAACTACTATGTGTGTTTGGGCAAATTACTTAGTTTCTGATTCCTAAACATCAAACTGAAGATAACAGTTCTTGGCTTGAGAGTTTGTGAGGATTTAGGCATGTTTGTGAAGTGTTAAATACAGTGTACATAGTAAGACTTCAGTTACTGTTGCCAGTGACTATACAAGAATCTGGGACCAAAAAGGCAAGAGCCTAGTGAGTATGCTGGAAGAAACAGATGATTAAAGGAGACAGCAGGTTATGATAGAGCCTCAGTGCAAAATCGATTCCATGTAAGGATAGAACCCAGAACCCCACACATGGTAGACAAATGCTCTACCACTCAGCTACATCCCCAGCCCCATTCCTACTTTTAGAATTCATGAACTCAAGTCTTATCTCTGCCAGATTTTATTTCATGGATGATTTTACAGGTACTTCTATGTTCTCCTGAAGAAGACGAATTGTCCCCAGCTCAATCTGCAGAGGCAACTTCGTCTTAGGGAATTGTCTGATAGAGAGTAGGACAAGGAGCAGATTTCATGGTAACATACGACTTTCAGTGCTTGATAATGTCCCTGGGAGAAAGAGACTCATCTGGGGTCCTACTCAGAAAATCCATAGTAACTACTACTGGTGTGAGGGTTGACCTGTGTGTGAATCAAACCAACTTTCTGGAAACCTACTTTGGTCATTTGAATTGATCACTCACTGTTTTTCTTTTCATTTATTCTTAGGTATTTTCAGTTATTTCCAGGAAGCAAAATCCCCTCCCCCCTTTTTTTTTGAGACAGGGTCTGCCTCTGTCTCCACAGTGCTGGGATTAAAGGTGTGTGCCACCATGACCGGCTAACTTCCCCTTTCTTCAAATTCCCCTCCTTCCAAATTGAAAAATTCTTGGCTTGCCCTGATTTCTGCTACCTCAGGATTTTTTCTTTTCCATCAGGCACTAAGTTCTGGTTTTGCCCGGCTTCGCTGTCTGCCTGCAGCTCATTGATTGACCAGTTAATGCCTTCGGCTTCTTCAGATCCCAAGGGATAGACCAGGCGGCATTTTCACCTATACTTTGAGACGCCTCATAATTGTATCCGTAGAGCACGTACTATGTGGAAAATGCATGTGGACTGTCAGGCTTTGGGTTAATTGGTTTGGCCTCTTGTCTCAGAGGGACAGAGTCCTAGTTCAAGCAACCCTAGTGCGCAAGAGGCCCTAATACAAATACCTGAACCAGCTTCACTCCCAGGGGAGAGGCATCCAGAGGAAAGCGCTTCCTCTTACTCCACCCATCTCAGCTACCAGCACCCATAAGCCCGCCTCTAACTCCTGCCCCTGCCAAATGATACAGAAATGAAATCTCAGTAGAAAACTTTTAACTCAATTTTCATTAATAACTAGGAGTGGCAGAAATATAATGCTTCCTTTTTACGGCAGGTCAAAGATGAAATTTGATTATGCTTTGGAGGGTGCGGTTTACCTCTTGCAATTCTCCCTCAGACTTTACCTACCTTGTGTTCTCTCTAACCAAGGGAGGCGCACTAGTCTGCATATATAGAGACAGACTCTGGAAAGAGTCAAACCAGTTCTGCACCATGGGGAAGAAGCAGCAGAAAGAAATGGCAGCTACAAATTGTGAGCTAAGTAAGTAGCCAGCTAGTAGCCGGGAGCCCGGGGAAGCCGGCCAGTTGGGCCGACCTAGAAGGCTAACAAGAACAGTCCTGCCCTTTTATTTTCTAGGTGCAGCCAAGGTTCGCAAAGGAAAGGTTCTGGACTGGAAGCTTTGTCAAGCTTTTCTCAAACTCCGCAGATTCGCTGTGGAGACCTTCTCGGAACTAACGTGTTTTTTCTCTCTTCTCCAGGGGACACTGAGTATGGAGAGAAGCAGCCCTTGCCGGGGTGTGGAAGTTTAGCTTCCCCCCGATTTGGTTTACTGTCATTTTATTTGGATTCTCCCTTTGCAGTTCACTGTCCTTTTTACCAAGTAATACAATCTGGCCTGCAGTTTCTACTTGATAACAGCTTTGCTATCTCTACTACTGCTGTAACCAGCAGGCTGAAAGCTAAAGAATACCGTGGGGGAGCCGGGGATTTGTCAGGTCATTTGTTCTCGTCTCTACAAAGACCCTGGGATGTGAGGCTGAGGCTGGCGTGAGGCCGCTTTGGGGCAGGCCAGGGATAAAGATTGGGGGGAAGAGAGCCACAGCCAGATGTGATGGAGAACGACTTCTATCCGGCTTAGGAGCAGGATGCTTGATGCGGCGGAACTGGCTCTACTGGTCGAAGTTTCGCGGTCCCTCCCAGAAGTGGAGTGATCTTGGCGCTGTGGCTTTAGGAGCCAGAAGAAAAGGACTGCGGTGGAGCCATGGTTTAAAATAGGGTGTAGCTGTATCTTCGTAGAGCCATCATCTCGTAGGAGGAAACAGGCTGGCCAGTACATAACAAAAGATGGCGGGGAGCTCTGACGGGAATTTTTTTGGTCTTTTGGAGACAGAATTTTATGTCTCCTGTGCCGCCTCGGGCTAGGAGGGTCCGACTTCACTGGCGCGGTAGGTTTGAACTGCGCTAGCTCAGCGCTCCTTCCCTAGGCCCCGCCCCCAACCCGAGCCCCGCCCCTCTAGCCTGGCCCCGCTCCCGGTCCGGCACGGGGAAGGCGGGGTCTCCGCGCCTAGCCGTCTGGACACGCACACGCTCATCTGCAGGAACCCAGCCAATAGGAAGGCGGGGCTGCCGTCGTGCCGGCCAATCGCGGGAGGGCAGGGGGTTGACCCGCTCGGCGCTGGCTCCTGGGATATGGAGGCGCTGGCTCGGCATGTCAGCTGGCGGCGAGGTCGGTGAGTTGAGCGGCTGGAGGGTTCGGGGGTTACGGGCTCTGCTTTGAGCCGGCGGCCGGGGAGGGGCGTCGGGTGGGAGGCCTCGGGTCCCAGAGAGGCCCCGGCGCTCTGCTTGGGCTGCGGGCGGCTAGGCCGTGGCGGACGGAGTCGTAGAGACGGAGGGGTCTGGGGATCGGACTGACGCGGGAGGTCACAGGGCACCCCCCCCCCCCGGCCGGCTGCCTGGGGACCCGAGTTCAGGTTCCCTGACCCGCTGCTACGCGAAGGGCGATGTCCCCCCTCCTCCTCCTGTCCCGGAGCCCCGGGGTCCTTGCGATCCCCCGCTGCCGAGCGCCGTGCGCGCAGTCCGCGGCCTGGCCTGGCGGACCTCTGCGCTTTCTAGGCTTAATTCAGGAGGAGGATTTAAAATAGGGTGGCTCTGTGGCTCTGTGGGTCCCATACTTTTAAAGCTCACTTTACTGATATTCCGCCTTGGTTTCCGGATTCACGACTTCATTTATACACCAGACTGTTTGCAAGAGTACCCTTAGGACCGAAGATGAGTTTCCTCGGTGTAGAATGGAGACATTCTCCATTGCTTTTCAACGGCATTGTGAGCTAAGGCAGCAAAAGCAAACATGGAAGGAGACCTGGCAAGGGCTGGTGGGCTTCTAGGATGTTTGACCTGCCATAGTGTCAGCGGCCTGGGAAAACCACGGGAAGCTGTTTACCTTGACCATTGTGGCATCTAAAGTGACCAAGTTCCATCACTTCGGCTGTGTCATCCTTCTGTGCAAATTGCTTGGGCTCCTTGTTCTTTTGTTCCGGATACTTAAAATGGGGACAGACGATATGACCTATAAGGGGATCGGTGGTGAGTATTAAATCAGTTAACACACGAAGTGCTTAGCTCAGGTCCTCACATGAAGGAGTTCCTACACATGCCTTGCTTCTTCCCAAAGACTTTTTGACCTCGTTATTACTGTCCTTAGCTCAGACTCCATTGGGCTATCGCCAGTGAACCCTTGGGCTAGTGCTTTCTATCCTTATTAATTTAGCTTGAGATACAGTTAATTACAGGTGAAGAGAGACGTTCTTTTTTCTTTTTCTTTTAGGACAGGATCTTGCTATATAGCCCTGACTGGCCCTGAACATGCTGTGTAGACCAGGTTGGCCTGAAACTCTAGCCATTCTCCAGCCTCTTTCTCCTGTGCGGGATCGCAGATGTTTGCCACCCATACCACCCATGCCCATATTTTCCTGAGTGTTTATTAAATGAGTTTGGAAAGTAACATTTTAGTCCACTTCCTGTGGAAGCCGTGTTGGTAAATGAAACCTTGAGATTTCACTGTTTTGATCCATGTTTAATTCTCAGTCTTGCTTGGCTTAAGCATTTTATTTTGGATACGTAAAAAAGGCCACGATTGCAGCATACTTGGTTTCTCATGTTTCCGGAATGCCTGAGGGACTCAGAAGGGGAATTCTGAGCAGCCTGGCAGCACTTACTGCTGAGGAATAGGGAAGTCCGTGTGCATCTCCGTAATTCTACTCTTAGGAAAACAGCAGTCTTGGATTACTCTCCGAGCTACACAGCTGCTTGGTTTAGGTTTGATGCTGTGTTGGAGGTTAGAGAATGGTCTCCACAAAGCAGGATCTTTTCCTTTGACCTTGAGTATTGAGCTTGGTTGGGTGCTGTTTATTAGATGTCTTTATTTTCTGTTCCTTACCATGCACACAATGTACAGCTGTCTGGACAGTCTTTGTGTGGGCTTAAAAGTCCCTCTTAATTTCTCTTGGTGCCTTTAGGGAGACTCCAGTGGAGGCTGTTTTGTATTCTAATTCTCCCCTGCAAAAGGAGCTGCTGTTCGTTATTCATGTGGCAACATTAGGAACTAGTCACAGTGAGAGAGAATGTCACTTACTGAGCAAGCATGCTGTCCAGATGTTTCTGATAGCATATGTTTACCTACTTATTTTTGGATTAAGACAGCTTAACATTTCTTTAGGTTGGAATGTGTTAAAATACATATGTAATGAGAGGAGAAGGCTAAAGTTAATTATTACAATTTTATCAGGTTCCAAAGAGCAGAAGGGGAATCTTGTACTGTGTGTCTTTACATACAATTTTGAAGAAAAGAATGGAGAATGGAGGTACTTAAAATTGCTAATGTAATTTTGAAGGTAATACCTGTTATTAGAGTGAATGAGTTGGCTGTAATCTGAGGATAATCATTCTTCAGATTTGCTAGAGGAAAAACTAAGCAAGCAGCAAAACAGTTTGAAGGCAGATCATTTTGGGGTGGCAAGGAGAAGCTAATAGACTGTTTTCACAGGTCTTTTTTTTTTTTTTTTTTCTTCCCATAGAGAGGGTCTTTGAATTTGCTCACAGGATAGAGGTTTCAGGCTAGGTGACCACATTGGTTCCCCCAAAGGGAAACACTACTGTAAGGTGGTTGTTGGGAGGAAGCTTGTAGGAAGCTGACTCTGTGAGAGGTGGGAGGAACAAAGGCCAATAGAGGCTGTCAGAGTAAGATTTTAGCGGTCTTGACAAGTAGCAGACAGGAACTGGCTGAGCAGAGAAAAGGAAGAATGCTCCTTAGTGGGCACTAGGCCCTGTAATTCTAAAGTGTCTGGTTGAGAAGTAATGCTTTTGTCTAACAGATCAGTTCTTGACAGCCCGGCCCCATTTCTCCCTGTTCTTATCGGTTTTGACACCCAAGCAGGCAGCTTCATTATCGACTGTGTTCCTGTCCCCAGACCTTTCTCGTCACCTCTGATCTTCCCTTCCCCTTACAGGTCTGTCCGTGTGTGTGTGTGTGTGTGTGTGTGTGTGTGAGAGAGAGAGAGAGAGAGACAGAGACAGAGACAGAGACAGAGACAGAGACAGAGAGAGGCAGAGAGAGAACACAGCTTGCTCTCTCCACGTCTGCTAGCTTTAACTGCTTTGCAGCTCTGAATACATGTTTCCAGTATGTCCACAGTGGCAATCTGATCTTTCCAAGGCTTTTCCCCTCCTTCATATTTATTGACTCTCTCTCTCTCTGTGTGTGTGTGTGTGTGTGTGTGTGTGTGTGTGTGTGTGTGTGAGAGAGAGAGACAGAGACAGAGACAGAGACAGAGAGAGACAGAATCTTCTAGAATCTCTCTCTCTAGCACAGGCCTCGAACTTCTCCCAGGATAGCCTTGAACTCCTTATCCTCCTGCCTCAGCCTCCTGAAAGTTGGGGTTACAAGCACGTGTCAGTCACGGTGCTGCATTTTTCCTTTTGCTTCTGTCTCCCTCTCCCTCTCCCTCTCCTGTTCCCTCCCTCCTTCCCCCCTTTCTTTATTCTTAAGTGGGCTCAACATCAATTTTTCTTCCAATCTCAAAGCAAACTGAAAAGTCAAACTCGGGTGAGAAACAGCATACTGGGTGTTGAGTTGAAAGTATAGTTCTCTGGTAGGACACGTAGGATGGGAGCTTATTACTGCGGTATGCAGAGTTAGCAAAGTGACAGTCTAATCTAGTGTCTCAATGGTCCTTGTGTGGGAGAGTGAGATTGCCCTGATTCATGTATAGTAGCATTGTATAATAGCAGCACTGTTTGTACTTTGTGAACTGGGTGTGTCTTGTGGTATTAAAGGCGTGCTAGTATTACCCACTTGGGTAGAGTGGATTATAATTTTGAGGCCTTTTTAAAAAGCAGGGTCTCTTGTACCCCAGGCTGGCTGGAACTTGCTGTGTAACCAGGGATGACTTTGAACTTCTGATCTCCCTGCCTTCACCTACGAAGTGCTAGGATTACAGGCATACACCACCATACTGGGTTTATTGGGTGCTGAGGATCAAATCCCAGAAAAATACTCTACCAATTGAGCTTCATGTCCAGCTCTTGAGGTCTTTTCACTTAATTGACGGTTAGGAGAGGTGCTTTTCTCTTTCTGTCTTAAAGTGAACAGTCCGCATCCTGCTCTTTTTACTTTCCTTCATGCTTTTTTTTTGTGTCAGATTCTGTCTGTGTGTGTATAGGGGGTGCTGGGATCAAACTTACAGCTTTGTACATGCCAGGCAAGCATGTCACTGAGCTCTATTCCCAGCACTCAACTTTGGTTTCACAAGAGAAAAGATGAAATTTTGTTGTTCATTGTATTTGTTTCTTTTTTGAGACAGGGTCTTGTGTACCCCAGACTGGCTTTGAACTTGCTAGGTAGTTAAAGACGAACTTGAATTCCTGATCCTTCTTCCTGTATATCCCAAGTCCTGGGATTACAGACATGAACCCATGAACCATAGCCACAGTGCTTTTTTATTTTTATTTTTTTTGGCAGAGTCTCATTAGGTTGGCCTCCTCCTCCACCTCCTGAGTGCTGGGATTAAAGGCATGTGCTCCCTTAATTTTAATAATTCTAAATTTCTCCTCCTCAAGAATAACTTTGAAGTTTGTCTATGTTTTACAAGCTATTTTTTTTAGTAGGTACAGATCATTAGCTGGAAATCCCTGATGGGACATCTCTGAAAATGATGTTTGTTCATTTAATCTAGGCTTATAAAAGAGAACGTAGCAATCTGTCATTAGAGACAAATGTTGCTCAGTGGTAGAGCATGTACAGAGCATGTTCAAGGCCTTGGATTCAATCTGTGTCACTGGGTGGGGGGGTGGGGCAGAGAGAGACAGACAGTAGAAATCTGTTTCTTATAATGTATATAGGTTTCTCAAAGTAACAAGTTCTGTTTGAACTACTTGAATATTCCGAAAACAGTTTGGTTTCTAGTCATTCAGATGGAAGAATTCAATTTATGAAATACAGAAATAATCTTCTGTTGGATAAGTAGTCATGATTTAGTAGGATGATTTTCAAGAACTTTATCTTGAAAGTAGACTTTTGAGGAAAGAGAATTTGGAAAGGATGTGGAAATCGAGGTTCCCTTCTGTTGGTACACTTACCTCCCTTTTGAGACAGAGTCTTTCTATGCAGCAAGGCTGGCCTTCAACTTTTGATCCATCTGCCTCAGACTCCATGCTGAGATTACAGACTCT